AAAAAGGCATTTAATTAATGTCATGATTAAGACAGTTGGAATACTTGAGGGGGTTTGAAGTGTAATTAAGGTCCCTGTTTAATCTTGCTGCCTCATGACAACGTTCAGTACAAACTTCAATTTTTCAGTGTTTCACTTTAAAAAGCGTACTACTAGTAGTTGTCAACCAACTTATGTTCAGACATGTGTGTGCATGCACATGCATGTTCACGTGTGTGTATGCAAACATCTGCATATTAATTTAATATAATTTCCATTGGGACAGTAACCCTGTATTAGTTGGTTACCACAGTGTGGAGGTCTGTGCTAGCTAGGGTATATAGTTTCTATACACAATCAATGTTAAAACCACAAGACTTGTACAGCCAGCCAGGCAACCACTTCTATCTGTCTAATGTTCCCACATCTCAGTTATTAATTGCACATATTGTTCTGAAAGGCAGTTTGAACAGAAGTACTACAAAATGCCCCCAAACCAGAAAACAAGCCAAAAATATTGAATACAGCCATCCTGTACCGATAACAAAATTTACTCTCTGTGCGTCATCCAGTAATTTATGTGATGCAAAAAAGCACTGAGGACAGTATGTGTGCCCATCTCTCACAAAGAGCCAGAAGAAAACATCTTCTCCTTCACCATGATTGAGTAAAGAACATCACCTTAATTCATCTATCTAAAAAAATTATCGCCGACTGACAAAAACATTTAATTTGACACATTCGCAACTTCCAAAATAGATCTACCTCCTGCCTTGATAACTGCACTGGGTATTGGGTTTATTGCACAATCGATGCCCTGAAGGGAAAATGCACTCAAGGCTGGTGAAGATTGAAGGTGAAGCTATCCAAAAAATGATGAAGCTTCCTGAGTGCAATGGTGCAGATGGTGCACCAGCTTGCTTATCAATGCTATACGTCCATGGTCTGCTATCTTTCTGGTTTTAGAGGTAAATTGCAACCAGAATTACCAGGGTGTAATGGAACAGTCCTGTAACCCAGAGATGTCAAGATGTCTGGAGACGCAAATTAGACATATTACAGACATTATCAGTTTTAAAAAAAGTTTTAATGTGAACACAGACACAAGTGAGTCAGAGCAAAGTGCAGAATGCATTCAGATCCTCGCTAATGAATGTGCTCCTCAATAATTTCCTAATGCCTCACTCCTGCCCCTCAATACCCTCTAGCAAGGTAAATTAATGGCATAATAACTGCAATGTCTTCTTTATGTAAAGCTTTATTCCTCAATCTCTTTCTCTGTTACCAGTCTGCTGAGGGCATCAATGCAATGTTATTAACAATATGCATTATTCACTATAGCAATCTCGATCAAGCCAAGATAGATGCCACTAGCTTACAGCTTCTCTCTCCGTCCCAGTGGACATCAAATGTTTGAATCGGTAGAAGGAATGACTTTTTTCATTTGAATTAAGTGCACAAATTTTTTGCTGGTAGACACTGAAATTCAAAGTTCTTCTTACAGGAATTTCAGAGAGGGAGAGTCACCTCCTCAATGTGTACCACCAGCCAGAGATGTGCTTAAAAATGAGCCAATATTACACCACTCATTTTCAGATAACTATGAATTAAGATGATTAAATGAAATCCAGGATTCTATCCATGTACCAGCTACAATAACTTCCTTAATCAGGGGTTACACAACTTACTGAAGATGTTTGGATACATCTGATTCATCATTCATAGATTTGTGTCTCATAAATGTATCTGGGATTTTCATCCCAAATCTAATTCTCCCCTGAGCACATTTCTCCCAATCAATTTGTGCTCGTCCTTTGATTCCCTGCACTTGAATTTGATGTTTTCGACAATTTCTAATTAAATGATAAAGTTTCAAATGTCTCGCCATAGTCTTCCTGACATCTTAGAAGGAAATATGGACATCAGGTACATGGACCTTTGTTTAAAGAGTTTTATCATTTTTTAAGGTTTGAATTGGGAAAGATAAGTAGTAAGTATGTAGACATAGAAGGATTACTTTGGGACAATTTTACACGTGGAGTGTGCAATTCATCACACTGTATGTGCTTTGTTCGTGTACAAGACTTAAACTGATCCTCATAACTAAGAAAATCAATTACAATTCTGTCACTTATCCAATTTGTTGCTTGCCCTTTCCATTATTGAATTATGCTAGAAGATGTTTGTGGCATTAAACATTAAACAGTTGATTTATTTCTAAAATGTTTGAAAACTGAATGGAAAGAATTTATGACATCACCTCATCATAACTGCACATAACATATAAAATTGGTATCATTTTCAGCTGGAGAAAATTAGCCATGAATCATTCAATCTTGATTGCTACAACCAAAAAATCTCATCTCTAGAGTTTTGAGAAAGCACTGATTTATTTGCGGTTGATAATCATTAAGATTGTTAAAAAAACAAGCAATTACACAAGGAATGTGATTAGAAAAATGGCAAAAGGATAAGGTCATCAAATTTGCTCCTGCAGGAATCAAAATTCTTGATTGCTGCCAGTTGTATTAAATCTTCCTCACTCAGTATTGATCGGACATTTTGGCGTGAAGGTTTTGCTAACAGTGTAGAGGGTTGGAGGTTGAGTATCATGCACTGAAGTCTGTGTTAATGGTAGGATACTCTACACTGTATGTCAGGCTGGAAACTATTGGACAAAAGTGTATATCAACCCCGTGGACAACAGTTTCAGAGTTGGGTTCTTTTTCTGCAAAAAATAAAATAAAATAAATAAATAATAAAAAAAATAACTAAATAAATAAATAAATAAATAAATAAATAAATAAAAAATAGGGTCTTATTTCTGAATTGACCAAACATGAGAGATTATACCTATAGGCCTTCATACATGACCTTCACTATTAAAAATTGATTGCATTACATCATGCTCAGTTCACAGCAAATGGTAATTTAAGATTTGGTTACAACTGTTGATTGTATTTCAAAGTTTACTGTTTCAGCATCTTTTAGTAATCTCAACATACAGAACTCTGTTTGGAGGTTTTACACTTTTCAACATTTATCAACATTTCTACTGGAAAACTTTGCATTAGTCCCTCCAAAAAGATCAAGTGGTAGTGGCATATTTTACGATATCTTTTATTTGCAGAGGATCATTTTGATGAACCAGTTAACGGACATTGTCCCTTGATTTTCCCTAGAGGGGAATATAAAAAAAGACAAGTTCATTCATTTAGTAACAATTTTTATGAGACAACAGGAGCAGAAAGTGTCAGCATTGATTTTTTTGCAATAAAGCACTTTGGTGCATATATTCTTTCATGCATGTTACTTTCAATTTATCTTGTTTTTATTGACCGTAACTTACACTTTTTCAGCTTTGTTAGTTTTTCTTATGGTTCAATAACTTTTTCTGGGAAAAATTAGCTAAGTATTTTCTTACCTTTAAGCGTAACGTGATACATCCTTTTTTATTCCATCTGCTACGTGTGCATTGCAGAAGATTGACTGAACTTCTAGATGCATTTAAAGTCAATTTTTTACCACAAAACCCAACCAAATGCCACCATTTAGTTTCAAATTGTATAATTTAGAGGAACACCAAAGGGCAGCATTTTATATTCCCAAAAATTGATATTTGAAAGGACATTTTTTGTTTCCTTTCTTTGCTATTTATGGCAGAGTGAGGGATTACTTTGGTTGATGACTTGGCATGTCGACTTCATTTTAGTCATATACCATAGGAAACTTGTAGATGTGGTTAATTATCTGTGTTACTTTAAGGAATCCAAGCTCCCTTTATTAGTAACTATAATACATGTACTAAGTATCTTGGACTACATGTAACTGCCAAGTAGTCAGATATTAAATTAGTACAATTAATGATGAATTGCATGCTTTTAATACCAAACTTTCTGCTTCCTCTTCTTAATTTGACAAGTTTTTATTTCTGACTGGTACCAACATACATTTTTGGGAAGCACCATGAACAAGTGCTTTCAATTCAAAATTTGCAAATGAAACCATTCTTCCAACCAATTATTTGCAATTTTAAAATATTTTACACCAGTACCAAGGCAATAATTTGCAATTCCACTCACAACACATCAAAGAAGCAGCTATTCTTTTTTCTGATTACCTGCCACTGCTGTGGGGAATTTCATCAGTGGTAATTGTCGCTAAATTGTTCTTCTGGAGACTACTATCAGGATAATGCCACCATAGCATGTTCAACCTGAGCATTTTCACTTTTGATAGAGGCTTTTGATGGTAGGCTTTAAATTCATACTTAAATTCATACTTAATTGTAGCTTTTTTCTGAAAGGTATAACAATTTGGTCAGGTGAAAAGCTTCAAACTGCACAAAATATGTACTTTTTTCTGAAAGGTATGAGCATTTGTTGGTAGGCTTTAAATTCACTGTATGTACTTATTTTTTGAAAGGTAAATTTAAAGGCATTTGGTGAAAGGCTCCAATTTTGCACAGAAATATACTTTTTTCTGACATTCTGCTTAGATTCTTTTTTTTTTTTTTAATATATATTCTGATTTTTTGATATCCTTTCTGTTATATTGGTATGTGCAGACAGACAATCATATTGCAATAATTTGAAATGCAGGCTTTTATAAAGTTGCCTTTTAAGGGGTTATAAAAAAATTAAGGTTAAAAATATCTAATTTGTACAGTGGCATAATGAGGCAATATATTTAAGTCTATTTTCCTAAGGAACAGAGAAGCAATGAGATAATAAAGTAAAATGCACAAATAATGCAAACAATCAATAAAACACAGCCTTTTATCTTCCAAAATTCCTTCTCATAAAATACAACATTCAATGAAGATTAAAAAGCCATTAAAACTCGCTTCACAAAAGGTCATTTTTTCCATTTAAATACCTCTCAATGACCCCATGCTATAGGAAAATAGGGTGTTTGATCAACCTATCATTTTAATGAATCGCACATAAATCACCAATAGTCTTGTTCCTTGAATATCACTAATATCCTGCTAATGCCGCAGCAAGCTGGGGACCAATTCATCAAGATGTTTAGCTTGATTTCATAAAACTGTAAGGACTATAGCCAGCTGAAGTACATCATACGCCCACAATATTTTAATGAAGTATTTCAGTACAAAAGTTACTGTTCGCCAGAGGCTGGTGTGGATACAGGATTTATTGGGTAGCGCTGGACATGCCACAGCGTGTGGTAAGTGGCAGAAGTTCTCACATCCTTTGATGAACCTAGTCTACCTGGCGTGTCGTGATTGATTGTTACGTGCACTGAGTCATGTTTTACACTGAACCAGTGATACTTGGGAATTATTTTATCAAGTTGCTGTTGAGGGCGGGCACTCTTGGTAGTTATAAGGTAAGCTTTGGTAATTCCTGAAAGTGTTACCCAATTGAGGGGTTGCTTGTATAGCTGAGGAAAGTAACTCTTCAAAAGAAAGATATTGGAGCTTTTCTTCCCTATGTACTTTTCACAACACTGTTCATTTAATTTATAAGGGCCTATATACACAAAAAATCTTAATGTTATCCCTTGAGTTTATTGTCTTCAGTTAATTAAAGGTCAAGTGCTGAATTTGCTACTCAACAAATTTAAGGAAGATAATCTAAGAAGAAGTAAACTGAAGAAAATCTGCAAGTCATAGACATTTTAACATTATACATTATTCAAAACCAGCCAATCAAATAAATCATATTTGAAGGCATGGAAAAAACTGCATAATTGGAGGAACCAAATTTACATGGTAAAGTTAGTGATAAACAAATAGTAAAATTGGAGTGGGCATATCTGACCAGAGCAGAAGTCAAAATAATTTGTGAAATTAACATTTTGAAAAGAGGGACAAAATTCTGTATACTGCCAAGTGTGCAAAGTTTGTACATACTAGTACATGTGTTTCCTGGGTTTACAGTGAGCTGTAGGTTATAGATTTTCAATAATACCTTTAAAATCAGTGTGTTTTATGGATTTCAATAATTTGATGCTGAAAGCCGCCTCCCCCCCCCCTCCAATCCAATGGCCATTATCATGATGGAAAAATTAGAAACAATACACCACCATCTTCTCCAGTTTTAGAACCTGACGGTCAAAACCAGGAAATTGCATTTCAAAATGTCATTTTAGCTTCATTTCACTCTAACAACAGGGTTTCATTACTGCGTTCTTTGCAATTAACAATTGCAATTTTCTTTGCAATCTTCAAGAGATATCCCTTATCCAGATAATTTTACAATTAAGAGTCTTTCCTCTCTGATATGAGGGGAGGATATTCTTTTTGGATGACGACATGACACTCATCTCCAGTACAAGTCCCATCTTTTTATACAGAGTCCTCATGAAAAACTTGCAAATAATAGTAGAGAAATAAAAAATGTACTGACAGTTGAGTGTAATGATTGATCATGAGCAGTGCTTCTAAGGGATGTGAACAGGAGAAATTGTACTAAACATAGACAAGAACGAGCAATGTTTAAGCTATTAGTCTAATTGCACTTGTGTGAAAGAGTTCATTGCTGTTTGTACTTCTGACAGGAAGATCATGGCCAATGAAATGTAGACCCATGACCAGAGAGAGAGAGAGAGAGAGAGAGAGAGAGAGAGAGAGAGAGAGAGAGAGAGAGAGAGACCAACTTTGAAAATCTATGCATGATGATTAAGGTCAAGTCTATTCTCCATCATTAATGAATGCAGCTGTGAGAACAATTCTGGCTAACCAACAAGTATTCAAAATCACATAACTCAATACTATAAATTCCACTTAGAACTTCCTAAGATAAATGCATATATTTTATATGGCATATTTAATAAATGCATGATGATTCTAAGCTGTGGCCTCTGTGTTAAAGTTAAACAACCATACACTTATACCAAACAGGTTTAGAGCACCACATTTTAAGTTAACACTTAAAAATATACTGTAATCTGAATCAAAACTTAAAAAATATCTAATATAAATCAATAGATATTAAATTATATACAAGTAATTTGTAATCAATTTCTAAATTACTTGAGTAAAAAAAACAACAAGTAATAACAATAAATTTTATAATAAGAATGGCATTTAGAACCACACAGGAAATCATTATAATTAGAAAATAGAAGGTAGATTCTGGATAACCAGGAAACAATCAGAATATCAGGGGACAAATCAAGGCAATCTTAGGTTAACAAGGGGCATTGGAGGCAATTAAGGGTCTTTCTAATTAAAGTACATGTGGATAACCCCCTCCTGAGAGTTTCCTGGAGTCTGTGCTCCAATTAATAGTCCAGGAAAAGCTGTCAACTGAGCACTTAGGATCTCTCTGATCTTGACACCTTGGTGACTGTGACAGCCATGGAGGGAATAGGGAACATGCAGATAACCCATGCCTTAGAGGACTAGCTGATAGGAATTAATAAATGATTTGTTAAACTAAAGATGGATCATCCCCCCTATTAATGATATCAGTCTACTCTGAAGGTGAATGGCATTTCTTGGAAAATTTTGTCAAGTTCAGGTGTAGGCGTAGGAGGCATGATACTTTTAAGGGTAATAATTACATCATTCATAATTCATCAAAGTAAATGCCTTCTTCACACTACTGACATTAATGAAAAAGTCAAATATCAGGATAGTTTATCAGCCTTTACTAATATAAACTATGAAGGGCTCATTACCATTGACACCATCAGTCTCTGTAGATCAACCCAACTCTGAGGGGACTCTTGCTGAATGCAATCAGTTTAACAGACTAACACACCTCCTATTGTTTTCAACATACTCATATAATCACCAGTTTTTCGGTATTCTACTCAACGCTAGAAAGAGGCATGTTTTAATGGTAATGAGCACTTAATGGCCAAAAGCTTCATAATCAAAGTGGGTGGCACAACAGGCCAAACACTGAAAGGGGTTACAAATTTGTAATTTGGCTATTCAAGAAGCAATTGAATACGAGTTCCATTATTTATTTCAATGCCCAACATATAAAAAAGAGCAAGAGAGCTTTCATAGAAAAAATTGAATCCCAAAACAGGAACATGACGCATGATCACCACAAAGAAAATTATGCAAAAAAAAAAAAAAAAAAAAAAAAAAAAATGAATGGTGTTATGTTGAAGAGTTGCATTTGCTATGTGTTTGAAATAACCAATAGTTTATTTTGTCAATAGCTATAGAAAATTCACTGATATTTACTAGCCAGTATTCTGTCTGCTGACAGTCAGACATCATCAGGGAAATGAGGATTGTGATAGGCAATAATCACCTGTCGCCCTTAGGTGTGCTGTCTAGTCAAATGCCCCGACTTTCACTGTAAAGCTCTTAAAGCTATTAGCATCAAGCTGCACAGGGCCAAACTCAATAGAACTGATGGGACTGAGTTCCCCAACCTCTATCTTCCACTCCTTAGGGAGGGGGGAATACAGAGGAGGGGGGAACCTGACTAGACAGAACACCTTAGGGGCGACAGGTGAAAATACCTATCACAATCCTCATTTCCCTGATGATGTCTGGCTGTCAGTAGACCGAATATTGGCTGGTAAATATCAGTGAGTTTTCTATAGCTATTGACAAAAGTAACTCTGTTGGTTAAACGGTGTTAGCAATGGAAAGAAAATTTAATTTCCTGAATATATATATCATACACAACTTCAAACTTCATCAAAGACAGTTCTACCATCATCTCCAGTGCCTTCTATGATGTATAATTCACAAACACAAGTCATGCAATTTCAGATAAAAAAAAGAATGCCAACTTTTGTAAAAGTAATTTGATAATGTTTATTTTCTGGCAAGATTTTCAAAACAATTCTTAAATTTCAGTAAACTCCAAGTAAAAAAAGACAATTTGGCAGTTTTGGGAAAATTACTAGTAATAGCTGTAATGTGTCAGGAACAGCTGTCAGACATAGCTATAAGATGGGCAAATAAGACAGTATACAGTGTCTGTATATGTAGAGACTAAAAACGTATACTTTCAGATATTGAAATAGGCTATATGAAAAAAAAATAGGAGGATTTCAGACAATACTAATCCTATAAACTGCCTGCAATAGGACAACATTTTGAATTACTATGAGTCCACTGGCATCCATTCTAAAAATAATATTACATCATTTCTTTGTCTGGATTAATAACAGCTGCAGATTTTTTCAAGTGTAAAAAGAAGAAAAAACTGAATGTGATTATTATTCCTCCCCACCCACTCAGCAGCTTTGTCAAAGGAGAAATGGAAAGACATGAATAAAATACAGTTTCTATAAAAACACCATAGAGCAGGTGGTTCTAACTTCTACTGTTAACCAGTGCAGGAACTGCTGAAAGTTATTCAGCCAGAAGTGAGGTGAAAAGTTGCCAAGGAATACTGGACTGCTTGCAGCCAAAAAATTCTTCTAGATCAGTTAGTTCCAATAGAGAGACACTGACATTAGTATTTACAGAGTTAAGGGGGGAAATCAGCAGTGAAAGAATAAAATGTAAAATACCATTCACACTGTTCAAGCAACCAGCACTAGCACACCACTAAACAAGGAACAATAATGCTAAAAAAAAAAAAAAAAAAAAAACTAAATAAAGTCAAAACACAAAATTGATTTTNGGGGGGAAATCAGCAGTGAAAGAATAAAATGTAAAATACCATTCACACTGTTCAAGCAACCAGCACTAGCACACCACTAAACAAGGAACAAAAATGCTAAAAAAAAAAAAAAAAAAAAAACTAAATAAAGTCAAGACACAAAATTGATTTTCATGAGGCCCAAACAAAGAAGTTCTCCAGATCATGAATGACAATTAACCAACAACAGTCACAATTCCCTGCAATTCAGTGAGACACTGAGCCAATGTTCAGAGTGGCAGTTTGTTCAAGTACATGGGTCATTAGACGGAGCTGGTACATGTAACATAGGCAGTAATGTTTATAATACTTTTTCTGCAATTGCAACCCTGAGATTGAAGTCTTCCAATGAATGCATTCTTCTTTGAAATAATATACATGTAGTAAAGATAGAGAGAAAAGAGAAAAAGAAGGAAAAATAAAATAAACAAAATAAAAAACATTGCAAATCAAGTCTTTAAATTATTATAGGAGTTAATAAAAGCTTTTTAAAAGTTTGGACCAATTTGTTAATAAAATTACCACAATTTGACACAAGTAATTAATATACAGAAATTTAGAATATTATATTAAGAGGAGAGCACAACTGGGCAGTAAGTA